ATATATATATATATATATATATATATATCATGGCTTTTTATGCATTTCATAATATACCTAACAATTAAAAATAATGTTACATGAGTGAGAGACTTTTTTGACCCTTAATTTACCTAATAATTCACTTGTTACTGTACTAAATATAACTTTACATGTAATTATTATTATCTCTTTTATTTTATTTTTTATATCTTTCTCTTTTATATGCATTTCAAAAATATCTTTCAAAATCAAAAGGGGACACAAAATTTATCCAAGTATGCTTGATTTGAGTAAAGATTTATTTTAGTTCCAGAAATTGGAAAAAATATATTAAATGAGTTTTCAAAAGTACAAATTAATAATCACATTAGTCAATTTTTTTGAAAAAAAAAATGTCCGAGTAAAATGATAATATTAGTATATGTTTATGATTAAAATGATAATAGATATTTAAACTTAAGGACTTATTTAATATTTTAAAAAATAATTTAGCACTTTCTTAATTTAAAAAAAGAATGAGATGATGAATTAATGTCCTCGATCGATTTTTAAAAAGTAATTTTAATGCAAATCGACAAATTTCCTGTATTACATGCCAATTTGCGAATGAATGACAACTTTTTTATAAAAAATAAAAAAAAATACTCTGTTTGTGCATTTTACAATATTTTAAAATAACTCTTTAAAAAAAATCAAGTGATGAAAAAATAACTTTCTAAAATTTTATTTAAGCGCCTCATTTATATAAAGGAAATGTGCGAGATTAAACTACACTTCATAAGACTTAAATCTTTATTTATTTATTTCCTGAATTTAAATTCAAAATTTTTACATATTTATTAATATAGGCGTAAAGTACCTTGTTTTTTTTTTTAAAATTCAAATTCAACTCAACATCAATTGTTAAAAATGTAGTGACACTTACGTGGTTTAGTAGTAACCTACAAGAATTTCCCTTGATATTACAGAGTATATTGTAAATATATGTTTGATGTTAAACAAATTAATTATGGTTACCTATTTTTTATTTTTTTTTATTTTACATATCTTATTATACGTTTGATATTTTAGAATAATAAAATATTGTAAATGAATTCTTAACTAATATACAGTCGTTACACACGCAGACAATTTCATACGTCCTGGGCAGGGCTTTCAACTGACCTGTTTAGTTTTCAATCATGACCCAATTTGGGCCCAACCCAGACCCAGTTGCACAAACAGCCTATGTCATCCTAATAAAAACATGGACTATCTTTTTTTAGGCTCATGATATATACACCTCCTTTTTTTATAAGTACACCTCCTTTATACTTTTTTAAAAATTATAAAATATTGTAGTTTTTTTTATAAACTTTATAATTTTATACCTTTAACTTTCAATTTGCTACTTTTTTCTTTTTTTTACACACT